ATGAAAGACAGCCGAATATCAATAATATCATATAATGTGTATGAATGTAACATTTAACAGCTTGTGGGATGCATGACATCATATCAAATCCAAAAACTTTTAAAACATTAAGTTAGCATTATTTTTGGCATAATAAATAATGCTATGTTTAATAATGCTTTGAGCAGAAAATAAAGATAACTAACAATTTCAAAGTTTTAAGTCCTATCCTAGCCATCTAACAACAATTTTCCCAATTATAATGACATGATTCTTTTTTTTGCAATGTTCTTAGCCTACAGATTAATAATGCTAAATGTAGATCAGAAACATATTGTCACATCTGGTTTGAACAGTCAGAGTCATAGGTTATAGATAGATAAATGGATAGTATGAAAAATACCTATATTTGCACCATTGCTGTTTTCTGCTGTATTTTGTTGTTTCTGTTGTTGTTAAAATAACCATGTGATCCGCAGCTCTAAACTTGGCGCCGGCGCGCGTCCGGACAGAGAGAAAGCGCACGGAGCTGAAAGGGCTTGAACAAAGAGCGTTTGGCTTTTGATAATACTACAATAGCGCTGAAAGATATTTACTATAAATGACCCTGAGCGCTTGTTATGTGATCCGCTCCGCTGTTTTGACGCGCCGTTCACTTAAAATGGTGCTGTGTTACCGCTCGCGGTCCGGATGGATGCCGGGGGGCGGATGCGGTCCGCCTTTTGAGTATCAGTTATTTAAGGATAAAAGACTCGAGTTGCTTTTAAAATGTACACGAGTCCTTTTCCTCGAGTCGAGTCAAGTCTGGAGTCATTTCATGTCGAGTCTGAGTCAAGTCTGAAGTCTATAAAAATGCGACTCGAGTCCAAGTCACTAACTCGAGTGCCCATCTCTGTTATGTATTCTACACTCATGGCATGCACACACATTAGGATAGGTTAGATGCCTGCCTCCGTTGCGAGTCCCTATCAAGCACTTTACAGATTCTACTACTCTCCTCTCCTGCCTGGCACTTTGGCCCGCATCACTCACCACAGAGCAAGCCTGTTCTTGATAAATCTGTTGTGAAAACGTGGGAAAAGCCGACGAGGAAGAAGTTGGGGTGAAGCGATCTTTATATAGGCGGAGCAAAATACTTCGCTCCGTCGATAGCGCATTGTGATCGGATGGTTTACGCTGTCAATACAGGAGACAAACCAATGGGCCACTGGCTGCTTGCTGTCCGTGCGTGATGGTCCTTG